TACTCAAAAAATATGAGTATTGAAAATGGTTCAAATATATATGTATACAATTCCCCTTGGACTATGAACTATGAATCTATTTCAAAGGTTTGTTGGACAAAAAAACAAAACAACCAAACCAACATTTTCAATATTTTTAAAGATCTGAACTGGTCAAATTAATGAATCAGCTCTCATGCCAAAAAAACATATTCGCCAAAATTAGTTTTTAAGCTTGATAATTTTCAATTAGTGTCCCAGTTTATTACTAATATGTTGTATTGTTTGAACTTCCTGTCAATTTCTGTTACTACAATCCTCCTTTGATTACTCTTATCTCCAATCAACAATGTTTCTTTTCTTTATTCTTCCAAAAGCATCCTTTGCGTTTTCAATATATTTACCACTTGCTTGGGGTTCTTAAATTTAAAAAAATTATTGTCGCCTGGCGCAATTATATGTTTGTATTTATATATTGGATAGTTATGACGGCATGACTTCTTTAAAAAACTTCATTTTGATTTTGAAACAATTACTCTTCAGTTTTAAAACAAAAAATCCAACATTTTTTTCCATGAAATTATTTGTAAAACAACATGTAATCACGAAATTGTGTGTGTGTTTGTGTGTATTATAAAAACCAGTGTTGTGTGTGTGTGTGTGTGTGTGTTTTTATATATTGGATCGGATTTCCAACATTTTTCAACCGATTTCAACAAAACTTCACAGGACTATGTAAAATTACCTTGCGGTTGTTCTGACAGCGCAAAAAATTGAAAAACACAATTGTTTTTGCACGAAATCAATTTGAAAACACGATAAAAAACGATTCATCGCCAGAATGAAAGGGGGACAACTCATATCGAGTTATATTTATTATAAAATCCAGGTTGTTGTTTGTGTGTGTGTGTGCGTGTGTTTGTGTGTATTCGATTTATATATGGGATCAAATTTCCTACATTTTTCAACCAATTTCATTCAAAAAAACACTTTTTTTTGGCAGGTAGTGTTTCTTATTGTCTTGCACACTTTTTTCTTTATTTTTACATTCAGAATGCTTTAAAAATTCCATTTACAAGACAATTGTTTATAATAAAATTCTATTCAATCGGTAGACTCATAACGATTGAAAACAATGTTTTGTTTGAGTTTGGGTTTGACCAATTCGTAAAAAAACAAAAAAAAAAAAAAAAAATTAATTGACATGCGTGTCCGTCAACCTTAAACAATAATCTTTGTCAATTTTATTTTTTCAGTCTTTTATGATGGTCGATACTTGATCTATCTTTTTTGTTACATCCCGGGCAATCTTTGCTCTCTACTCGCTAGTAGAATATAAAAATCAAATACATCACAAAAATATGTCGTAAATCGAACGCTATTTTTCTACACTGTTTTGGAAATAGCTCTAGGAGCTAGTTAGTTTATAAACACAGACGCTAAGAGACGACATTTCCCAATGTCTTGAACACGTAAATATACGTCGACAGCAGTGGACATTAGTTTCATAGAAACGTATAAGTACGTCCACAGCAGTGCAATTGTTAAAGAATAATGTACTGTATTACATTAGTGAATTTAGTGTGTTATATTGCATTAAGGATTGGACTGGATGCCGTGATCTATTTTTTGTATTCTGTGTAATCAGCGGAATGGGTATTTAAGTTTAGGCTAATAGAATAAAAATGTTTGATAACCGCTGATATAGATCACGAGACTGGATGACGCGGTTAAAGAGCTTAAACAACCCAAATTGAATCGATTTTTCGTATCTATCTTTTATCAGGAGCCATTTTGAGAGTATTTTGTCCACTTGTCTCCTCTTAATATTTCCAGAAAAGTTATTCCTCTTTTACCATTTTGAACAAAAGAGTGCTATTTCCAATTTTGTTTTGATGGAAGAAATTTTCACTTGAACTCGTTTTGTTTTGTTTTTTACCCAACCCAAAAGCGATTTCCAAACTGGTCTATCGCGACACTTTAGTTAAATTAATTGCAGGTTCCTTCTTTAATTATTAAAGAGATTTTCTACTGAATTATTTGTTTTTCATGTGCATTTTTAATTAGATATTTGGCTCGACTAACAAAACTTAAGTAATGCTCGGCAAAAAAACAAATCTATGTCGCCAACTAAAATCTATCTTCTATCTATCCCTGGGTTAGAAATCTTTCTATTACAACTTCTTTGGCTAAAAGTTTGTTTTTTTTTGTTTTGTTTTTTGTTCTTAGCAATTATTCTGGCTTTAATTAAATTCACTGCGACTGTAATTTTAAAAAGGATTTTGTGTACACACACACACAAATGTGCACGTGTTTAAATTAACTTGCAGTTTGTTAAGATTTAGGCCAGGAAATCGACTAAAACAGAGTTAATAATACTTATCGAACTTTCTTGTTTGATCCTTATTTCGAAAGAGTGGTGTAACCAATGCAAGAATTAAATGCTATCTCTTGATTATCGATGTTGGAGATGCAATCTCTCACAGAACACGGGAATAAATAAATAATATTCTTCGTACACAGAGAGAAATTTGTGGTTCAGTGTTCTTGATAATGATTAGGTTTTAAAAGTTTTAATAGCTTAAATATTTTAAACTTTTTTTTATATTAAATGATAAATATTGTATTTACAAAGCAACCTCAGTTCTCGAACGTCTCGTATAACGAACAAATCGGTTTTCGAACAAAAAATTCGAGGTGAAAATGCCTCGATTATCGAACAAAATTTCGGTTCTCGAACAACATTGCCGAACTGAGTTAAACGAACGTAATAATTTTTGAGTCGACCGCCGTGTTGTATACATTCGTGTGTTGTGTCGTGCTTTTCTTTTCCACTTTTATTGTACTGTGACTTTTTTTCTCTACATTGATTCCTATTAGAAAAATAGTTTCGGTTTACGAACATTTCGGGTTACGAACGGCCTTCAGGAACGACTTAAATTCGTGAACCGAGGTTCCACTTTAATACAATCATTAAGTAAAGGCGTATTATGTTTTTAATGGATTTTTCGTTTATTTTTTTATAGTTTGAGTGCGCTTGGCTCCAATGATTGATTTTGTTTCTATCAGGTTGATTGATTGATTTATTTGTCTTTTTACAGCTTATCAACTTTTACTATTTCATTTAAGTATTTTTAGATTGTAAGATTCGTGGGGGTGCGGTGGATGGGGTGATAATTGCGCAGAAGTGAATATAACGAACCCGATTCGGGATTGGAACTCGGCTCTTCAGTTTCCAATTCCAAGCCGTTGTTCTTAACACCATCCGCACATCTAAGTTTATGTCAGGATATCAGTTGGTGTTATTTTTTCTAAACTTTTTTCTTTGAAGTTAATTTTGTTCGCATGTCGATGCCGTGACTGAGGAAATTTATGCTGATTAATATTTGATTTGTGCTTTTCTCATTTCTTTTCAAAATAACGTGTGTGAAAAAAGTAATTGGTTAAACTCCGATGATCACGTTCTTTATAACCGTTCTTAGAAATCTGTGAGAAGTCTGACTTAGATAATTCGGAAGACAATAATTTTTGCTTGTACGTTTTCTATATACAGGTGAAGTATAATAACATTATGACTTGAAGAGTCTACTAAAACATCGATAAAAGTGATTCTATTATTAATATCAAATCGATAAATAAAATTTAGAGTAATATGTGATTCTTGTCAGGAAATACTAGAGAGTCTGAATCGAATTTAATGCCAATAAATGTACGTTTATTCTAAGAGGAGTTGATCTGTGGTGACCTCAATATATACTGCGCTCACCCTGACATATACCAGATTAGTCTTTATCCCAGATTAGACTTTGTCCTACCAGAGTTTGGTTGTTCTTTCTTTCATTACTGTTTTAAATCTTTTTTCTTTTTTTTTTTTTTTTTTAAGCATTACGACCCGAGCAAGGCGTGAAGCCACTAGGATGCAGGGGGTTGCAGAAGATTTGGAGCAATAGCAGATAGGAGTGATAGAAGAAAGACTGAGAAGAAGGATAGTGGGTAGATCAAGGTAACTGGAGGTGTCGATTGACATTACATTTGAATAGTTGAAGATTATAGCTTTCAGGGAAACAGTAATTGGGAAGGGTGTTCCACAGGCGAGAGGTGCGAGGTATGAAGCTATTGGAGTAGAAGAGACAGCTACATTTAAAAGTTTCTACAGTGTAAGGGGTGGGAGCGGGATGCCAGTCTCGTAGGGCGCTTGAATTCATGGAGTCTGGGAACCAGTGAAAGCAGCTCATCGGAGCAATTACCATTTAAGTATTTGTAGAAAAACACAGAGAGGCGACGGCGCGTCTGTTAGAACAAATTTTATCTAGCAAAAGACAAGATCAGGGCCAATTATATTACATATCCGTAACTCTGGATCTTGTCAAGAACTCCGAGGTTCTTTTCGAATGCCCCAGACCATATATGGCAACAATAACCATATAGGCCAATTTGATTTGTATATTTAAGAATGGATTAGAACAAGAAAAAAATGTCAAACTAGTCGCATACTTTCCTTGAATGGGGGGAGAAAACAAAGAAATTCTACATTTGATTACATTTGTATACAATATAAATATGAGACCGAATTTGAAATGCTTGGATGGAAGAAGAAGTTTTATTTGTCAATATTTTCTAATGGGGACATTTTAAGATTAACATTATGATCGTTAAGAATATCGCAAAAAAAAATAAGTAGGTGCCAGGGGTTTTCCTTAGTCAATTCATGTCTAATCAGCAAATTCTGAGATTTCATAAACAAAGAAAATCCTCTTCCAAATGTGAGATTTTTTGGACAATTTTAGCAGGTGGTGTAGAGACGTTCGCTCACTCACAATACCCTCTGCGTCACGGAGAAGCAGTCGGCAACATTTCCTTGATGGAGATTATAAAATTAGCCGATTTTGACATAACAAGTCGGACCCTGGCTGCACAAATGTTTGTAGTTATGTCACTAAAGAATTGGGAGCTCGTCTTAACAATTTCCGTAAAAGTATCGACAGAGCAGCGAAGGAAAGAGGCTGCAAGATTGATCAAACATGAAAAAGAAGAAGATAAATAAGAAAAAAGAGGGAAAAGATATGAAAGATGAAAATCGGGAAAACATAAAGAAGGAAAACATATTCTTCTCCATAGAAGAAAAAGAAGGAAATATATATGGCGAAGTAAAAGAAAAAGATATGAAAGAGGAAAAAAATGAAAACAAATGGAGTGAATGATGAAAAGAAAATGAAATATATATGAAACAACCAATGAGATAACAGCAGTGCGTCAAACTACTCATCCATAAAGTTTTATAGACTCGTCCAAAGAATCTACCCTTCAAAAATAGTAACAGAAACGATCTATATCTTTATTTTTTACTTTTTCATAAACTTCGACCAATTAAAAAAGATTAGGCGAATCCAGAAATTTCATTGATAACGACAACGATTAAAAAGTTTCACGAAAAAAATAAATCAATTGCGCCCAAACCTTTTAGCCAACTTTGGACCTTAAAATTATATAAAAACAAAACATTCTGACCAAAGTAATTCTGACATAACCTAAAGAAATAAATAACTTGGAAACACGTTATCGAAACCAGACTTTAGTTGATTCAAAAAAACACATCAACGCTGACTTACTCACAATTCAATATTTTAACTCTGTTAACTATTTTTTTACCATTGATCTTATTTTTAATTACATTTACTATCTTTAAAAACATTTATTTAAAAAATTTATGTCAAAAAATTAAAATGAAAGGTAAATTGAAAATTAAAAAATTCTGTTAAAAAACAAACATAATAACTCCTTGATATCAACATTTTGGATGAACGATAACAAGAAAACTAAAAAGCACCTAAATCATCATACACAATTGCTTTTATAAAATATAACCTAATTTTCTAATTTATTTATTTTGAATTGTAGGTATAAATATTTATCAGTTTCTAATTTAATCTGTCTTGGTCTTAATATGAACAGAACCATGGTTTTTATCGTATTTCCAAGGAAAACATTTAAATGAAACTAAACTGAAATTTTTCGTTTCATCATACTTATTGAATTTCTGTGAAATAAATCTATTGATACGTTAAAAAAAACAATTCAGTTGAATTTTTGTAAATTTGTTTTTTTTTTTCTGGAGTTAATTGAAACTCAATTAAAAATTCAACCAATTTTTTTTATCTGTCTAAAATATCCATATTCTTAAAAAATTTACCGTAAGCCACACAAAAACTTTTTTCTACATTTCTGAAATATTAGAACATTTCTGTCATTCATTCTGTCACAAAAATGTCAATCGTTCAATCGTAGCCGTTTTTTTTTCTGAAGAGTTATATTATTACGGAAATTTAAAGGCCTTCACCCAAAAGTTAATATTTTTAAGCAATTATATTGTTCCTTTAAAAATTTTATCTTACATGATATCTTTACTTGTTTTTTTTTTAACTTTTTTTAAGTGAGTGGAGGACATTTTTTCTTTTAGATAAAAACTTTTCACATAGCACTAACAACTTTGGAATTCTATGTTTGTCATTTATCTTCCTCCTGCTTCGGGTTAAATAACAAAAACTTTTTTCTTAAAAACTTCCAATATTTGACAAAAGTCTAAAAAAGGAAATATCAAAACCAGATTTTATTAAACTCAGAATTATATTTTTTTAGACACGTTTGAATAATATTGCAAAATTTATAATAAGCATACAGAATGGGCCCATCAAAATTTTTTTAAATATTCAAATAAAATATTTTGAATATTCGCTTATCTTATTCCAAAATTTTGAATTGATTATTTTTCATCCAAAAATACTTTTGATTTACAAAAAAAGTTTGAAATAAAAATTTTTTTTTTTTTGAAATTTCATAAAAAATTAATTTAAAAATAAAAAAAGAATTTTTTAAATTCATTGTTTCTTCTTGATCACCCGTTTGAAAGAATAAAAAATATTTGAATAATTGATAAGAATCCTTGATTTTTTTTTCCATATTTCCTATCAAAAATTTCATTCAGATTTAATTTTTTTTTTTTTTTTTTGCATTTTTTTTCCATAATCTTTATTTTGTTTTGGACAGAATTTTTTTTAACATTTTAAAAAATATTGTACTTGACCGTTTCTTTAATTTTATAAAAATTATTTATTCATTTTTTTATATTCATGATTTATATATTTTTTTTTTTCAATTATTCAATATAATATAAAACGTTTATAAAATAAATTATTTTAAAAATGGTTTAATTTATTTCTGTTCCTGATCGATACATTTTTTTTCTTTACTATCAATCATCGTATATTTTACATATATAAATTCTATCTCCAAATTTAAACATTTTGTTACGTTATTCATAATACGCACATATTTGTGTATTCATATTTGTGTATGTTTTATTTATGTGTGTCGGGTATATAGTGTTAAATTGATTTGAGGTTTGGTCATTTTTTTATTTTTTTTGGTTCTGAGAATCGCTCAAAAACATATTTCTGGTTTTTTCTTTGTTTTTTTTTTCTTTTTAAAGCAAACTTTTGCAAAGTCATTTTCAAAAAAATTTTCTTTAATATTTTTAATATATCAAGAAAGTCAAGCCAAAATAAACAAATATATAAAATCATGAACATTTTCAAAAAACTAATCCTTTCTTTTAAAAAATATATATACAATTTCTTGAATTGGGAAAAACATTACATATTCAAGTTTGTGTTTCTTAAAAATTTTTCTTTTCTTTTAATGAAGGGATTGGGGCGAAGAGGGGAGGTCAATAATTCTTATTATGGGACAAATGGTGTGTATAATATGAACTGACATTTTCGGTGGGTGGGTACTGGTCTTGGAAGATACTTATTTAATTTATTATAAGGCAATTTTTTTAAATGTCTTTTAAACTATCTATAATATAGTTTATTTTTGTTGAACTTTCAAAACTTCTTAAAATACAAACTGTACATAGATATATATTATAACTAATTTAGATATTATTTTATTTATTATTATTATTACAAAATGGCACGACTCATACAACAATCGCTATCACATGACTTAAAATATTTTTTGCCTTCCTTGCCTTTAAAGGAGTGCCCTTTTGCCGTGCTGATGTTGCTACATGCCTTACTTCTTGCCTATCTCACACTGCGAATTTTTTCTAAGCTCTATACTAAACATTAAATCTGTTACGAAAAAAGAACTAAACAAAATGAACACAAAACGATCAGCTTTAAAAAAAAAACTCGTAACTGGAAAAACCAAATGAAAAAATGTTAAAAACAAATACTTTTTCACACCCAACCCAGTTCTGCGGAATCAGAATCAACGTTGAGTTTAAGCAAGCGAATGAGCCAATTGGAGTAAAAATACCATGCAGATTTAAATTTTTCCCAAATGTGACGAATGCAGCTATCGATTTTTTTTTTTGCATGCTAGCATGATAGTTAATATTCGTGTCAGTCAAAATGTTGGCTCTCAAAAGGCCAATAGAATCTTCCTGCCTATTCGTGGCAGCCAGCTATTGGCTCTCAATCTGGCCAGTAGAAAATGGCCGCAAACTACATGAAAACTGCCGTAGAAAAGCATGAAAAAATCGATTATTTCCACTATCGATGGGAAACAGGAAATGCAAAGTCGGTCTTGGCCTTCCCGTTTAAAAAGAGCATGTGCATGTAAATTTTTGGTGCAAATCCGTCGAAAATTGCGGCCGTGCATTCGTTACACACACACACACACACACACACACACACACACACACACACACATCAATGCATTTTATGAGATCATATAAAAATTATTATCTAAAATCAAATTTATCATCTTAATTCTTCAAAATAAATGACCCAAAAATTTTAATGAATTTTTTAAACAATTAATAAATATAAATCCTCAGTGTTCAAAAAATTATAATTAAATAAATACTCCAATTGATCTGTGAATTTTTGCCTATATTGTGCATTTTTTGAATACTGTATTTTTAATTATATTGACTTTTGAAACTTATTTAAATTTTTGTTTTGAAGAAACCAATTTTCAATTGATGTTCTAATTTTATTTAAATATTTTATTTTAAAGTATAAATATCATTGAACACTTCAACAAAAATTCGAATCATTTGTTTCATTCTGCTGATACATATATTATTTCAAACTGATATACTAAATTTTTTATATAAATATATTTTATATATATATATATATATATATATATATATATATAATATAATAACTTTTCCCGTCGGTTTCGACGTATGAGGATCTGACAGCTTAAATGATTCAGTTATGAAATTTTGTGCGATAATCTTAAGTGGCATTTAAGACCCGCTAGTGATTTACAAAGGAGGCCACATACGGAGCAAGATGTGAGGATTGTTAGATTGGCTAACCTTTTAGATCTTGCTCTCGCTTCTTGAAGATGATTCAGACAAGCAGATTGAAAATTGCTGAGTCCACTAAAACACGTTGATCTCCATTCTACCCGCTCCAAGGCTAAGCGCTAAATAGTGTTATGTGGTATATTGACAGCTGACAAGTTATTTTCAACTTGTATTTGTATCTGATCCATATAATAAATTCCTATAAAATAATTTTTTAAAAATGCTACATTTCTCTAAACTTTGGTTTTCCTGTCAATCATACATTTTTTGAAAAAACCACATTCCGTCACCAACATATATAATAAAGATTTCACAGGATTTCAAAAAAATTTTCAAATTTTTTTTTTTTTCACCTTTTTATAAATAGATCTAATAATTTTTTTTTTTTTTCGGATGATAAAATTTAAAAAACTGTCAGTTTATAAATCTTTAATCCAACACCATTTACACTATTTTTTAATAGCATTTTTAAATTTAATGGATTATTTTTTATCTTAAAATTTATTCATATTATATATTAATAGTTTGTTTTCTGTAAAAAGTTTTTTTATTTATTATACAAACACAAAAACAAATCAAAATATTTTCCATGTTCATAAATTCTATTGAATTAAGTGTTGTTTTTGTTTTTTTTTTTGGAGTTTTTTTTTATTCAAATTCTTTTAACCCTTTTTTGGAATTAAAAAATTAATTAGTGTTGCCGCATCAAACAAACTTTTTGTTACGAATAAAAGTCATAAATCTCTAATAGATAATTAAACATGTTTGTTTTTTTGTATTCATGAACAAAATCAACTTAATTTTTTTTTGACAACAATATGTCCTCATTTTTTAAATTCGAATATCTATTGATTTTGGGAAATGGACTACATTTCTTCAAAAACCTAAAATAAAGAAATTTTAATTGGACATTTTTTTTTTTTTTTAAATTGAATAAATTT